TTTGATTTTGAATTTCATATATATATATTTGATAAATCGCATGTATCCTTCATGGAAGGCAATTTTGTTCAGGATGGGTCTAAAATTAAGGCTTTAAATCCCTCACAATAATTATACTAGAAATGATTAAACACATTCTTATCTTCATATATTCAGCTCTCATGTGCTAGCTAAACTATTACCATTTGGTATTGTTTATACTCTTTTTTTTTTTTTTTCCTTTTTTAAGAATTGTATACTCTTTTTTAGTTACTTGATAGTACCAGGCTATGTAGCACTAATACTGACACGGGACACATGACACGACACGACACGACATGACACTCCGATACGTTAATTTAACAAAATGATAGATTTCGACACGTTAGGACACGTTTTGATATTAAATAATATTTTTAATTTATATAATGTATATTATATTTAATATTCAATAATTTAACAAAAAAATGAAACTAAACTTATAACATTCATCAATTTTGCAAAAAAACATAAGGTATCTCAAATATTTATATTAAACTCAATAAAATGGTAATCGAAATCTAACGAATCTAATAGTTGGAACTAAAAATTCAACGCAACGCAACTTTTGAACCTTTTTTTTGAATTTCTATAATGCGTGTTAGAGTGTCGGAGAGTGTCGAGAAGTGTCGGACATGACACGTCAGGATTTTTGAAGTGTCGGCGCTTCATAGGTACCAGGTATAGTACTTGTGACATAAAAAATTAGACATATTCAAAAATCAAATAGAAAGGAAAAGAGATCGAAAGACACCTTCAATAGTCCAACTGTTAGAGAATATAATATAAATCATTAAAAATGCTCTCACCCATCATCTTAAGGTTTTCTGTTGAAATAGTTCTTTAATATGGTATCAGAGCTTCAGTGACCATGAGATCACGAGTTCGATCCTCACCGTCCCCACTTTCAGGTGGAATTAAGCAGCACAAAACAAACCAATAATGGGCTTGTGCCATATTTACGCTTCAAACCCAAAGGACTATTGCGTGAGAGAGAGTGTTACAGAATATAATATAAATCATTAAAAAGGCCCTCACCTAACACCTTAAGATTTTGAGTTAGTGGTTCTTTAACACCAATAAATTCAGGAAATGCATACGATATAAAATTTATCTATAACATTTCGTCGTCTTAAACTTGAGTCTAATAATGTGGAAATGATTCACATGCTTTTTAATGCTAAGTTGGCAAAACATGATGCTCACAATTGGCACTCCTTAATTTACTGACGGCTGTCATAATTTTTAGGAGTTAATTTTTTTTATCTTACATAAAAAATGTTATACATACATTATTGTAAGTACAGGGAAAATATAATTTTATCTTTTAAATTAAAATGAATATTTCGTTAGAAAAAAGCTAAAAAAAACTTCCTTATAGTTTTTCTTTGAATCATTCACCCGCGATATATATGAGAATGATATTGTAACAACTAAATTGTGTTATTATTATGTTACTACTAATCAATCTCACCGTTAGATCGATTATATTAATCCAACGGTTATATTTATTTCAATTTCATCAAAATAGAACGAGAATATTAGAACGAGTAAAACAAGAAAAGAATTTCCAAACTTAATATATGAAGGCCATGACCGCTAATATTCAAAATAGAACTCCTAAAGAACTAAAATTAAAAAGCTCGACTAATTTATTAAAGATGTAACTCTTTCGGGAAGCAGAAATTTTTTACAAGAATGATAAAATGCACACAAAGGAAAAATCATTTTGTGACCAAAGAGGATCAATTTGAAAACGAAAACTATTGTAAAAAAAATATAGCCCAATAAAAAAGATTAGTAATTTATGAAAATACATTTCCCCTCCCTTTAGGATCCTATATATAACTACATTAAGATGATTATTATGACGCAAGGAGAATTGGAAAAATCACCAATGGCAAAAAATAAGCAAAAGTACACAATTACATTTTTTTCTTTAGCTTATCATAAACAAGGGCCTTTATTTAATTATCTAAATTAGATGGGGTATCCATTGTGATTATGCAGTGTCATTTCAAGCATTGAATCCATTCCTGATCCCCTGCTTCCATTATAAGTGGTCATCTTAATGCTTGCAACATTATACTTAATGATTCAAATTGTGAGTGTCAATATAATAAATAAAGCATATAAATTATGACATACTAGCAGGACTAAAAGTTCTTAAATGCTGGCTGGGATGAATAATTTGGCAGAGGTTCCCACAATTCACAAAGTCATAAATGTATATTTATCTATTAATTGCAGAAAACAAATTTCATCATAGAGAAGGGGGAAAGAAAGAAATTTTTTTACTTTATTGTAGACATCTCAAAATTCTTTTTTTGAAATCGGTAAATTTCATTGTATTGTTTGATCAATAGAAACCCTTGCAAAGCTGTAGAACGAAATAATAGAAGTGTCAAAATGAAATAAAACTCGTGGGGCAGCGGTTAAGTTTTATATTTGATCCTAATTTATTAGAATTTTTTTTGTGATAGAGTCTTTTTCGACTCGAGCTCTCACAACCTATAATTTAATGAGTTGGGTTAGCGCAAACTCGTGGGTTAAACTTTTTTCTTTATTAAAATTTTTATTATTTAAAAATATAAAAATATAAAAATATAAAAATTTAAATATTTATTAATATTTAATAAATTATAAACATAATATAAATAAAAATAAATTTTTCAACAATAATATGTTTCAATATAGAGTTTTTTTTTTTTTTTTTTTTGTACAAGCAATATAGATTTTCTATATGTACATCTTTGTGGATAATAATAAGTAAAAATATTTTTGCAAAAGTAGTAATTAAAGAAAATCAATGGTTTAACTTTTTAAATATATAACATACCGAGAGTAGTTAAGATCAATTTTTCATAACTATTTTTAATTTTTCACTAGAGTTGCTTTATTCTTCTATGACTCCTTAGGAAAAAATCTTCGTTTGATGATATCCCTTAACAATGAATTTAGTAAATATACTAACTAAATTTTTTTTATATTAAAATTTTGTTTATATTTTCACTTTTATATGTGTACAGATATTATTTTATTAACAAATAAATTATAATTTTTTTATAATTTGTATAAAATATTTTAAGAAAGTGTTAAATATTTATTTGTTAAAATAATTTTTAATGTTTTGAAGATAAAAAAAATTAAGTTTTATTAAATTATAATTTTAGATGTTCCGCATATTGCCCCTAACCCATAGGGCTTTTGTCCCATGCGAACCTTTATTATTGAGGGCCATTTGATCTTACTGGTTTTTTTGGCCCTAATCCATGAGCTAGGGTCTAATGAGATAGGCTAACTCATTTTAACAACTTTGCAAAATAATACATAAAATAAGTGAAATGTTTTTGTAAAAAGAGAAATAAATAAATTTACAAATTTTTAACAAAATTAAAAATAAATTAGATATTAAAGATTATAGTGATAAAAAAACAAGGGATAATTAATTTAAAAGTAACCACATGGTTGCTTACCAAAAAAACAAAAAGTAACCACATGGTTTTTTTCTTATCCTTTTATAAAAAAAATTATTAACGAGGAATGATGAAAACAAATCGAACATTTATTGGTTTTAAAAAATATTAATGCTGTTTATGTTTTAGGAAATAATTTTATCTCTTATATATATATATATAAAAGTAAAAGTACGTCGAGTTCATATTTTTTTTCTCTTCTCTATGTTCCTATATGAGTCAGGATCATTTTACACCAGTGTAAGTTACACTCTTAATCTTGTCCGTTGATTTCATTTTTATCTAAGGGCTCAAATTTTTTAATGATGTGAGCCATTGGATATAAGTGAATCAATGGTTAAGATTGAGTGTAAGACTTCTAACTCTTACACCGGTGTAAAAAAATATATATATATATATATATATATATATATATATATATATATGTGTCAGGATCATTTTACACCAGTGTAAGTTATACTCTCAATCTTGTCCGTTAATCCCACTTATATCTAAGGGCTCTAATTTTTTAATAATGCGAGCCATTGGATACAAGTGGATCAATGGTCAAGATCGAGTGTAAGACTTCTAACGCTTACACCGGTGTAAGAATATCCTGCCCCTATATATATATATATAGGGCTCTAATTTTTTAATAATGTGAGCTATTGGATACAAGTGGATCAATGGTCAAGATCGAGTGTAAGACTTCTAACTCTTACACTGGTGTAAGAATATCCTGCCCCTATATATATATATATATATATATAAAAGATATAATTATATCTGATAACACGAAAAACATTAATGACTATTAAAAAAAACATGGAGCTGTTGGGAAATGAAACAGATCAGGATCAGCTATTGGATTTATGACCTCACACTTAATGCAATTCAAATTCCTGCTGACCTAATATTTGTACTATCCACTTGTAAGTTTTAAATTAACTATTTATTTATTTTATTTCTAGAAGGAAAAAAAAAAAGGCCTAGACGGCAAGCAACCCCATCGCTTGTGCTCTGTATAGTGTTGGAATTGCCAGTGCTGTGCGGTGACTTGGTACTCACAAAGATAAGAAGGCTTTTGTGGAGGCGTATATTTTTATGCATATGTTTATGAATTAAAATAGTATTTATTATTTAATTTAATTGGTTGAAGAATAAAGTAGTACATATTTTCTTAATTTAATAATTTTTATTTAATTCATATCTTAAGACACACGATAATAAAGATAGTTATAAAAGTAAAAAAGAGTAACTTGGAGCCACAAACAGAAAGACAGAGAATCCATGGAGGCTTTAAAAAGATGGGGTTTTGCAAAATGGGCGCCATGTAAGCGCAATTAGTAATATAATAATATTATTAGTATTAATTATATAAAGCCGCCTAATGCTAATGCCATATTCTAGCATAAGCTGTGTTTGTGTTATAACTTTGGAGGCAGTGTCATACATATCATATGTATAAAATATAAATAACCAATATCATAATGTTCCGCAGTAATTAAAATATAATTATAATTTTGTTCTCAAAGAAAGACTCTCTGTCTCTATTCCTCTCTCTCCCTCCCTCTCTCTCTCTCTGAACTTAGAATCACATTCTTTTCAATTTTAGTTTTTGTTTCTGCGATCTTCAGCCTCAAGGCTACTGTGCTTCTGGGCACCTCTTAAGTTCTCTGCATTTTTTAGGGTTCTTTTGATTCTGAATTGGATTACAACTCTGCTTTGCTAAATTGCTGGCACTCTATCAGTTCATGGTAAGACTCATTAGCATGTGATTCTGAATTGGATTATGGGGTGGAGTTTTTTTCTTTCTTTCTTGGAAATGATAAATTCAAGTGTAGAAATTGATCTTCTTCTTATTAAAAAAAAAAAAAAAAATGCTTTTCTGGGTTGGGTACTGCTTTCGATTATACCATATTGGAAAATCAGCTAAACCCAGTTCAACTTATGTGTTGGGATGAATTCTGACAAGGTCTTTCTTATTTTTTTTATTTTTTATTTTATTTTATTTTTGGTATTTAATCCCAACTTTGAAATCCAAGGTTCTGTGTGTTTTTTCATCAGCCCAATGGAGCATTTTTCTCGTTACTTTAAAAAAGTTTTGAACTTCAAACTTGTGTTATCCACTCCTGGAACATTATTGGTTTTCTGGGGCATTACCGTTTTCCTGATTTATCGGTGTCTTTAGTTGGAGTGATTTGAAGCCGTCACAAGACACGCTGTTTCATCAATTAGTGCAAGGAAGAGATAAAACAATGCAAATATTGCTTTGCGTATCTGCAATTGTTGCTTGTCTTGATTTCTTTGGAAATCCTTTACTCAAGAGTCATAATTCTCATTCTTTGCTGAAAATTTCAGCTGCTTTTTTCTTCAATTTTATGATCCAAAACCTTTTGCTTGAAGCTACTACTTAACCTTGAGGAAGTTCTCATTATCGTGTTGGGTTTCTGTTGTTGGTGTAACGGGGTGCACGGGAAATGCTACCTTTTTGTTTTAGCACCATGCATGCCTGATGTAATCTTTTGAAACCTTTTCTCTTGTTATTATAGTGAAAGTTGACACGGACCGCTCTTGTCATGTCTCATGCCGTTCTTGTGATGTAGTTGATTTTATATCCATATCTTTCTAACCTCAAGTCTCTCCCTGTGAATTTTTGGCGCAGAGAATACCAAAAGTTTTGACCTGACCAGTGAACTGCCAAAGTAAAGGACAAGGTTAGTTAGATATATCTTTGGTGCTTATTTTTAATTATGACTAAAGAGTATGAAATGGGGAAGTAAAATAAAGAAGTGAGAATCATTTATACTCCTGATAAAGGGCCAAAATAAAATAAAATAAAGGTAAAATTAATGCTGCCGAATAAAATATGTCAATTTTAAAATAATATTGAGAGTTCTAGTACAACTTAATTGTAATGCTGCTCGTGAGTAACCTACTACCACACTTCTTTGTTGGCTGACATTTAATTAGTCATGTTGATGGCTTTTTTACTGTTAGTTTATCTTCAAGTTGTAAGTGTCTCTAAACTCTTTTAACTTTAGTTGATGAATCATCATCTTTGTCACTCGAATATATTTGTGGGACTGTTATCCCCATTACTTTGTTCTTAAGTTTGTGCATCTTGATGTCAGAGACAATAGAAACTCATTTTATGTACAGAAACACTAGTTTCTTTGAGTTAATTCACTGTAACTTCTTTGAATCAGCAGGTATAGTACTCAGGACATGGGCTGTCTGGTGTCCACTCCAAAGGATTCTGGTGGAAATAGAAGGAGACCAGGGAGTATCGGGGAAGTTTCTGTCTATGTTCCCGGTCTAAGAATTCCTAAACCAGTTGATTTTGCACAGTCACTTGGTGATTACTTGTCCAAGAATACAGTGGAACGTCTATCTGCTCTTAGAACTCGTATAGTTGTAATGGCTAGCCAAGAAGGTCCGACAATTACAAGAACAAAAAGAAAAAGTGCCACCCAACATGGTTAGTGTTAGCAAGGATGAATCATTTTATAATAAATAAGTTGCTCAAATTTATTGATGCATCACACGGTTTCAACCTCAGGAGGTTCAACACTGTCTGATCTTCAGCAGGCTCTTGAAGACTACTTGCCAGTACTTTTGGGATTAGTCAAAGATGGTAAAGCATGTTTTATTTAGTCCATTTATGCTTGATGCATGTTATTTCCACGTGCCTAGATTAATTGCTTATCTTTTTTATGCAGGAAGCCATTTACAATACAAAGTACAATTTGTTTGGGTGAATCAGGAGGATGATGCAGAGGTAATTGCCAATTTGTTTTGTTTTGTTTAATGTGTACGTGTTTACACCTTGATTTGAATATCTATTTCTATACACAAGCATGCTGATCATCTTTTTTCTCTTTCCTTCACTTTTATTTTTTGGATGGGATTGACACTTTTTTGCAGGAAACAGCCATGTCTAATGCTTGGTATGAAGTGTTGTCAGTTTTGCACTTGATGGCAATGCTATTGCTATCACAAGCTAATTTATTACTTCTTCCTAGAACATCTACTGATGGTAATCAGCCAAAAGTATCAGAAGGTGAGTAATACTGAAATTTTTTTTGCTTCTTTGTTACTTGCCCCATAATCTTATTGCTTATTATACCAAGCAACAGAATAGTTTAGGCTTCTAATTGGAGACTCCAACTCAATGCTGTTTTGAAAACTAACTAATGACACAAGTAGAATAGTCTTGAGGTTTTCAATTAATCTTTCTTTGTGTCCCAACTAGTTTGGGATAAAGGTGATGTTGATGTTTCTTCTTTGTGTATGTGTGATTTTGTGATTACTTGGACCTGTTGCTTATAATTTAAATTACCATTTTATTTGATTCATGGACCAAAAATATGGCTAAAAGGGTGCTTTAATTACCATTAACTTCTCGTTTTTCACGTATCTTATTGAACTTTGAAGAAAGATATGTATTTTTTTTGGGTTCTTTCTTTTACCTGTCATGGTTGGTGGAAACTTCTTGTCAGTAAGTCCTGACAGGCATGCATAGCATATGTAGTAACACATTCTCTGTGTTTTCATGTCTATCTGTAATTGGGAATGGAAATTTTATCTTGTTATTGACAGAACAGAATAATATAATTTGCTGTAATTTTTCTCACCTGTTGGTTATATATTCTGGTAGCTGATTAAGTGGAAAACATATTCTTTGTTGTCTTATATACTGCAGTACTTTGTTTTTAACGATGCCGCTTCCTTGATGCCCTTTTATATATTTTTCCTGCTATGAAGTTTGAACTTTTGGTAATTACTAATTACTGACAGAAAGCAGACGAGCTTCTGTTGATATCTTTTTAAAGGCGGCTGGGTTTCTGGATTGTGCTGTCAGGAATGTTCTTCCACAGTTGCCTGCTGAACTCAGGTATGTACATGGGCAATGCAATGGATTCACTGTCACACTGTTCTGTGTAATCTAAACAACCATCTTCATTGTTTTTTATTACTCTTCTCACTATTGGTTCTAATTTAGGAGAAACTTACCAGTAGACCTTGCAGAAGGAGTTCTTCGAGCACTCTGTCTACAAGCATTGGGACAGGTAGTAATGTTTTTTTGGATGGACCTACCAAATGAATTGTCATGTGTCTTGTAGTTCATTGTGCATGCTTCAATTGGAAGATACCTAGCAGAGAATTAAGAACTGAAAACCTATCATATTTAGTGGCTAAATCCAATGTGTCTTGTAACTCTATTTAATGTGGCCAACTTCTTGTCCAATATTCTTCTCCCAAATCTATGTTGCATATTCAAGCAAATGACTAATAGAATTGGCTTTCCTAGGGTGTATTTATGTATCTACTATTACAATTGAGAATGGACTATGCCTACTCAACGCAAAAAGCTAGCTCAAAGGAGGATTATTGCTCAATGCACAAGTGTGGACAATGGCTGACTAATAGTTTTGTACTTTTTATAACTCTAACATGCCCTATCATGCAAGACTCCATTGGACTTGAAGTGTGGACAATGCACAAGCCTATCTTTTCTTGTACGAAAAATTAACTTTTATTTAGAAGAATGGGATTGGGAAGGATCGAACTCTAGATTACTTGGTCATAAAGGCTCTTTATACCATTTAAACCAATTGGGTCTAAACCATGATAGAACTGAGAACAGACTAGGCCTAATTCAACCCCAAAGGCTAGCTCAATGAGGGAGGATTGCCGTTATACCGAGTCAATATGGGATCTTGACACACTCTCCTCTTGCCCTGGACTATACATCTAGAGCATGAAGTTTGCAAGACTAGAAATCAATGGGTGGCCCAACATCAAGGGTGTGAGCGGCTCTAATACCAGATTATGAGCTAACTATCCTAGAATTCTAAGCTATTAGATGAAGGCATATGAATGGTTTTTAAACTTTTATATCTCTTAAATCTACCATGAAATTACACTGATTATTTATTTAAAATTTCAAAAGACTCAGATAAATTAATAATAATGCTACAATTCAAGGAAAAAAAAATCTTTTCTATGACTAATGGTTTTGACTGCATGTCACGTTAATCAATATACTTTGTGTAAAGAGAATACAAGGACAAGCAGATTCAGGTAGCTTTCATCTTAAAAAGTTTAAAGAAATTTTCTGAGTAAGCGGATACAAATAAGTTTGGCTCAGAAGGCTAGCAAAAGAAAATTTTTATTGCATGTTGAATTTAAATCTGAGAACAACGTATTGGACTTTTAAGTATCTTATTACTTGATTTTGTTGCTCTAATTAAGAAAAGAATGAATAGATAAGGTCTATAAGGATGGAATGAAAAACAGTATTTACACTAAATTTCAAGTCAAATTCATATCTTAGTTCTATTGGCATATAAATTGTAAATTTTATGAATTGAGGGTGAAAATTAAAGCTATGAAGGGATTAAAAGGGGGACATTGTCTGCTGATTGCAATCATTTTGATTTAACTCATTATGCATAAATTCCTATAGATTTTGTTTTAGTTAACATATTAGCCATGGAGTTTTGGGTCCAATAGTGCACTGTTTCCATTACGAATGTGTGATTCAAAACCATCGGACTTTTGTATATATTTCTCTCGATCTGGAGTGGGGAATGTCATGTAAAATGGTACTAATATTGAATGGAAAACTGAAAAGGGGGAATTTTCACTATATAGATACCTTTTCGTTCTCTCTCTCTCTCTCTCATCTATTTTGGATATACTTGTTTGTTTATTCCATGGTTTAATAGGGTGTGGATATCCAACTTGGAATGGCAATTGATAGTACCAAAGCCACTCTTGCAGTGAAGCGTAGACTTGCATGTGAGATGGTGAAATATTGGCAACAGGTACAAGTGATAAGCTTTTAATTGTTTTAATGACTATAAAAAATTGATAGGCATATCTAATGGGATTGTGGGAACTGTCATTTTACTGCTGGTGCATTCTTCTGTTTGCTTTTAGTACTATGTTGACTGCTAATTTTATTTTTCCATATAAATTTTCAAATTTGATCTCTGTAGAATAAAAGAGAAGTTTGTTTGAAGTATCAGAACTATTAATCACTTCAAATATATTGCGTATCATTGTGTCCTATGGAACAAATTATTTTGGGATTTGCATTGTTTAAGTGTTTTTTAGCATGATCTCTGTAATGTTGATGAATTTGTTGGTTTCCATTTAAAAGGATTTTGAAACTAAGTAACTAACTAGTCTCAGTTATTTCTCAATTGATCCTTTGTTTTATTTGTGTATTCCCGAGTTTCCTATGGGATCTCTAACTTGTTTCTCTTGGTTCTTAATTTATGGCATTTTTTTCCTAATACAAAACTTTGTTCCAATTCTATATACTGTGTGTATGTATATGGTGCATAAGTATGTTAACATGGGTGCATTTATTCAGCATAAATTACTTTGTTTACATTGTTTAATTTGCAGGCTCAAGATAATATTATGAACCTTCCGTTAGCAAATGGTTGGGGTGAAAAACACCGCCTTTATGTGAAATGGAAGTATGCTGAAGCAAAGGTTTGTGCTTTTTCTCCCCAGTTATTTGCATCTTGGTATTTAATTATTTCTTACTCCATAGTAATACAAGTAGTGTGGAATTCTCTGGTTTACTAATTGCCTTGGGCCAATGAATGCAGATGAAGTATAAATTGACTCAAATAATGGATTGTCCAAGATAAAATATGGAGTTGGTGTCGAAACTTGAGATTCAATCTGTTTCTTAGGAGATCAAGTTTAGTTGGAATTGGCTATAGGGACATATGGTTAACTGTGCATAACTGATCTACTTTTGGGTAGTGACTGAAATCTGAAATACTTGCTCAGGTTGATGCTAAAGGCTTTATTGAAGAATAGAAGAGAATCATTAAATCTTTTCTAAATTCTAATGATAAAGGATCCAAAATGCCTTGAAATCCCTGGACCATAATGTTATAATTGCAAACCTTTATTACATTCTAGTTATATTTGGTAGATGAATTAAGAGTGCCCTTGAATGTTGTGTATGTTATGCTGTACAATTGGATCATTGGTTTTCTTGTTTTGTCTACTGCCTATTGTTTGTAGTTTTTCCCCTTAAAAGTTCTTTGCATTTTTTCTTATTTCTTTCTTTCTTTTGGTTTTTGGGGGTGGGTAAACAACATTTTTTAGAAGAAAGATATTGTCCATTTGGTTGTGGTTTCAGCTTCATTAATGAAATGTGAACTGTTTCTAGACTCTTGACGATATTATGCTGAAGTCATTTGATTTATTCTTATTTTTAATACCCTTAATCTTACTTGATGAGACCTAGAGCAGCACCTCAGCTACTGGCCTATATAGTTTCTTTTGTTTTCAAAATATTCATGTATAATTCAGGAACTAGTATAGAAGGTGCATTCAGCAGAAACAAGTGATGTGAAGTTGTTCACATGTTTATTATTTTGATTTACCAGGCTGCAGCATATTATTATCATGGTTTGATTCTTGATGAGGGAAATACAGAGAAATCACATGGGATGGCTGTAGCTGCTTTGCAAGCAGCGGATGAATATTTCAAAGAAAGTAAGAAGCTGTGCGAGGCGTTCAATGCAGCAACTCCATTGTCAAGGTTATCCATTATATTCCCTTGTACACACTGATGATATGCTGTTATGTTGGGTGTTTGTTTGAATGTTTTTGTTTTTCAAAATTGTTTTGAATATAAATTTTGAAAATTGATTTTGAAAGTAAAAGAACAATAAAACTTGTTTGAGTATAATTAGATTTAAAGTTATAAAGAAATTGTAATTATTTACAAAAATGTCATTAATGAAATTTCATAATTACAAGATTGCCACTGTAAAGTAATTTAAAATTAAAAAGAAATTAAATTTATTTACAAAATGCCATTAATAAATTCTTATATTTACAAAATTGCCACCGCAAAAACAGAAAAATCAAAAAACAACTTTTGAAAACATCCCTATGTTCTGCTTTTTTAGTTTTTAAAATAAAAAATAAAAAATCATTGTTTTCAGAATCATTTTTTAAAACAACCTTTTCCAAACAGTTTTTTTATTTTTTTGTTTTAAAAACTCAAAAACTGTTTTTGAGAATAGAAGTTAATCAGGCCCGTATTTCACTCAGAAAAGATGTTTTTACTTTTAATTTTCGAAAGCTCCTTCAGCCAACGGTTAATACTTGAGTCGTGTGTTCTATATAATGTGATAGCATCCTTAATTATATTGACCCCATGTGTGGAACTGGTAATGAGTACTTGTTATGTTATGTATGTTCCAATTTCCATTAACCACGCAGTCATTTTTACTTATTGTATTAATGTGCATGGCCCAAGCACAGATGTTAAGATTAAAAGAAATGTTTAGAATAAATGGAATGAACATGATACCTTTGTGATTGTGGGTGGGCCAATGACCTTAATTTAATACCTCATTCTTTTGAGAGATTGGCAAGTGTTTCTGATAGGATGCTGCTAAAGGTATAAGCTAGGATGAGTTACAGGGGATTATTGGAGATGGAAAATGTTGTTAGTGAGAATATTCTAGAAGGTTGAGTCTGTTAGAGGAGAGAAGGAAATAATGCTGAGGTGGCAAAGCTGTTAGAGGAAATAAAAGGTGAAGAGTGGCGTGAGCATGAGGAGGCTGGAAAATTGGGAGTTCTTGGGAGAGATCAGTGCCTCTTTAATTGCACTGAACCAGCCTCTGGAATTACTGTAGTTGATGTTCTTATTTTAATTCTGCATTTATCATTCTGTCATAAACAACCTTGTTATTGTATTGTTTCCTTTGATTAATATACAGAAAATCCAGATTTCTGGGCCAAAAGTCTTGTGTTGCTGCGTTTATTTCTCTGATTAATTTGTCAGATCCTATCAATTGTTTCTCATGACACTTTTGGCATGTCAAGTTCTTATTCCTTTAGCAAATGAAATTTGTTCTACTAAAATTGCTTAGCTGGTCATATATATATATATATATATAAATGCCTGTTTGAAAGTTTGAGCGGCTAACCGAGTAGTACGAAGCTTGGGTCTTTGGTGAGGTTTGGTTTCTGACTGTTGTTTATGTGCATGGCTAAACTTCAGACATTTACTTCCACTTTAGGAATGTTTTGACTCTCAGAGTTCAGTTTGTTAAGTGTTTGTTTCATTGCTATCTAATCTATCAAATTTTTGTTCCTTCTTTTTGTTTCAAAGAACAATGAACTATAATAATCCATTGCATTTCTGTGCCCTTGAATCTTTGAAATTGTGAAAGTGAAACAGCTTAATTTGGCATCCTTGTGATTCTTGAGTTTCTTCCAGTATCTTATACCTTTGAAAGTTTGATCTTTGTTTCACCTCTGAAAGTAAAATGGTTTTTTGCCCTGAATTATGGAAATTATTAAAATGATGATGATGAATAAAAATTGGAAACTATGGGCTAATCTCTCATTGTCTGTTGACGATATATATATATATATACACACACACACACAAAACAACCTTACAATATTTTAGCAATATTCTCTGGTTTATTTATTTTATTTTAATAAACTTTGGGAAAATTATTAGGATTCTCAAAGAAATTATCCACTCCCCTTTTGTTTCCCTTGAATGTAATGCAGCACATTGGGAATGGCCAATATCATATACCCTCAAAAAGTAGTAGTTTTCTACGCCTATTTCTTATCCAAGGACAGGGTCACCACTAGGTTAAAGGCCTAATGACCTCATAGCTGAGGTTATTTCATGTACATATGTTCAACTCTTTGATATGAACATTTAATTTTTGTTAAGAGCATTTTCAGGCACTATTCTCGTTGCTTTATTCATGAGTTGAACCTAATCATTGAGATCCTCAGATTACCATGGTTTTGATTTATTAATCATATTTTTTTTTGCATATATTTACTGGTTCATTGATTATCCGATTAATTTAGATACTTCTCTTGAAGAAAAATAGCACCTTTTTTGGTTATATGTTTTTTTATGGTCCATCTGACTGGCAGTCATGGTGCAGAAATCCACCACTTTGGGGGACCATGAAATATCTCTGTGAAAAAATTCCTAAGGATACTTCAAGCAAGGTGCGGATAAACCGCGATCTGTACTCTTATGAGAGGTAAACTTTACGGGTTGCATGAGTAAATTGTTGCCTAACTGTAATTTCATAATTATTCTTGCTTCATGAAAAGAAGCACAATGACTAATTAAATCATGTTTTTTCTTGTTAATGTTTATTACAGAATCATGGAGACAGCACCAACATTGCCTGATTTTGCCTTGGCCTTGAAACCAGATGACTATCAACTTCCTCCGGTGGATCCCTCTTGGAGAACAGAAAACGTGAATGGGGGACAAACCGGTGCCCCCAACCATCTCAAGGGATGATAAATGATAAAACCTTACCAATTTGAAGACCTCAGAAATGCCAGCTTATCTTAAACAAGGATGTTAGTCAACTTCAAGCTTCAAGCTAAGAAGGGTGGTTTTTCAATGCTTGTCAATATGAGAAGAAAATTTAACTATTTCTGACTTTTTCTCTACGGTTTGCCTCTTTTCTTCTTAGATTAATTTCCTTCCTTCATCCAAATATTTGAAAAAAAAGGGCCTGCAACTGGAAATAGAGCTTCAAGTTGTGTTCAATGTAAATTGTCAACTGGGGGAAATGAAAGGGTTTCCTTGCCAATACCCAAATAATAAGATTGCTGTTTTGTTTCATAGTACAGGCAGTCAAATCCTCCATTTTTAAACCAAGTTGTTTAAGTGATCGTGTGTAAAATTGACTTGTGCATTGCAGAGAAAGAATGATTTCCATTAGGTTGCGTTAAAATTCGAAAGAATTTGAAGTGGACGGGAATTTAGGACATTTTAAACAATAGTGTACCATGACAATTAAACCCTCTAAGTAAATACTGTATTTTGTTCATGGCGTAAGATAATATTTCAGTTTCTGCAGACAGCAACATTACCGTAACATGCCGCGAAACTTATTGAAATGCGTATCTCATTCTCATGCAAGATTATTTTTGCTACAATTTTTTTTTGGTATGTGTAAGATTAATTTCACTTGAAAATAATTTGACTTATATCTTATTGTAGTGAAAAAAAGATACTACTTTAAATAGGAATAATCTCAAGTCTTGTTAAAGATCAGGATAGTTCTATTCTACACCATACAAATTTCCGTTTGAAGTCTGTTTGAAAATTTTAATATCACATGTAGTTTCATAAGGCCCACTTATGCTGCTGAAAATTTCCAAACTATACCCTACCCGAGTTCACGTACGGACAGGGTAGTGTTCCCCTAAAGATTGTTAATCCCTTATATCAATTAAGCTTAAGCATTTGCTTTTTAGTCTCAGTAACATGGCCAGGGAACTTATATAAAAACATAAACAATAAAAAAACTTCAGACTTTACACCTCGGATACTTTGGCAACGTTACCTACGAAAAAATTTCCAGTGCCCCTATCAGAATCCAGGAATATTTCACCTCTAAAAACAGATTTAATACAGTGATACTTGTCATTGAAAGAGAAGTGAATGATACAGCATAGGACCTACTTTTGCATGCGTTAAGCAGCTTAAATGGGATAGGGATTTTCAACACACTGCTTCAAATCTTTTAGGCGATGCAACAAACTGCAATCTAATCTTCTGTGCCATTTGTATCATCTCCTTCAGCCAACAGCTTTTGCTTCTCTTGTTCCTCTGTAATGAAAAACACAAATTCATCAAAATTGCTCCACATTCATGCAAAAGCACACAAGTAATCAAACGAATATGTAGTATTTACAAAATCAAGCTACTAAGATACCGATGTTTAAAAACTAAAAAGAGCAGTTCCCTTTATCCAACTAACCAGAATTCATAGATAAAGAATCTGCATACACATGGCCATTAAAACTGTAACCAGCAGAAACAAAAGAAGAACCTATGAGATTTCAAATTGCTAACAATACTGAATTTCTGAGTAACATATATTTACAAGATTCGCATAGCCGCCTAACTTTTGGGGGGGGATCTAAAACACAATATTGTTTTAAAATAGAATGTTGAAAGTCATTTAATTTATAGATTAAGCATGGAATAAGGATGCTCCTTTCTATAGAAATGTCAGAGAAGTATTGACCATGATAAAATTAGTTAAGGCCAAAATGCACCTATGGTCTTTTAAGTAAGTCTCAGCTCTTAAGTTTAATTTTTATCCCTAACCTTTTATTTGTTTATGTAACGTCTAATATCTTACAAAAATGTCACCAATTTTGCCATGAATACTCTGTTTCAAGGGCTAACATAGATTGCCTACATGACACACAAAAGACATCACAGTGGCAAGAACTTGACAGATAAACATTTGAGTCATCCTATTTGGCAAAAAAGACAGCAATTATACTTCTATTATTCCTACTTTCCTTCTCTTCCCTAATTTCTATTATCTACAGCTCTAACTAGTTTTGAAGACCAAAATAGTCTCTAATCCAATTAAGAACACTCACTGACCCACCATTTTGCTAAATATCTCAACCCAACAAGGATAAATAAATAATAGCCATCAGTGAGCTAGAAATTTTTTTCTTAAATCTAGCAAACAGTAAGACATGGTTGTCGCCAACGCCTTAGAAGAGAGAGTTCTGAAACTCTCTAGAACCCCCACACCCCCCCCCCAAAAAAAAAAACTAAAAAGAAAAGGAGGATAGAGAGAGAAATTGAGAGGAAGAAGAAAATGAATAAAATGGTGCCATTTGTTGTCTAGAACATTGATTCAAATATTGTTGGAAATCGACAATCACACAGAATCGAGAAAACAGAAAAAGAGATAAGAGTAGAGAGATTGACACGATGATTTACCCTGGTTCACCCAATATAGGCTACGTCCAGCTTGTCTGTACTATATTCACCTCACCGCCACTCGTTACAAGTCTCTCGGTTTACAAGGCAAATATAAATAGGATTACAAGAAACCCTAACAGCAGCTATTCATGGGCCCAAGCCCAAACTGCTAAGAAAATTACAATAGAAACAGAGGCCTAAACATTACCTAGCCTCTACGGGCCTGGGGGCGCTGCCCCCCGGACCCCAGCCGGGGCGGCTCCCTCGGACCCCCGCCCGCTCACCTGGGAGCGGGACCCCAGTTGCCTTTCTGCTGACCCCGACAATTAGGGCCAACATCATCATGTGAAGTATGAGCCATACCCAACAAATATCACCAGTCAAATGCTTGTCATTCACGTGATTGTTACATAAACAATTATTGTTAGTCCGTCAATAGGAATTGGCATTTAAGATGAGATTTTATAAGACATAGGACTTAACCTAATTGAAACAAATAAATGTTTCAGGGCAGAGCTGAAACTCGAGGCAAACTTAAAAAAGGATAAATAGTATAGTTTTGCCAATAATCAATATATAATAAGGAAAACCACAAGGATTCATTAACTGAAAGTGAGGGCAAGAAAATTATTTGTTTTATTACATAAGGTGTGGATAATTAGCATAACGAAGAGACTCATAAATCATACCCATAAGTTCATAGAGAGCCTTCTGAGTTCGCTTCTCAATCTTATCAAGCTTCTTCTGAACATCTCTCCGCAGATCCCAATTTGGTTTCTTGGGAGCAATATTCAGAAAGGGATCTTCTTTGGCCTCAGCCTCAGGTGGAGGCGCTGCAGCAACTGGGTCTTCAAACTTTGGCAACACTGCAGGGGCAAGCTTCCCTTCCTGAAGGTGTTTGTCATGAGGAACATAGTTACGGAACTTCATGCTCAAACTTCTACAACAAAAAACACATAATCTAAGTATAATTGTGTATGTTAATTGTGTTTGTGTATCAAATAAAAGGCAATAAATAAAGGATAGATAAATACTCTTGTTGATCTTGATCTTCATTATCATTAGGTTCAGGTTCAGGTTCAGATTCAGGTTGAGGTTCAGGTTCGGGAGCACCCGACAATTCTTGAGCAGCTCTCAGAGCTAGAAGCCTTTCCCGACGGGATGCCACAGCTTGCTCAATCGATTCATCTTCGCGACCCATCTTTGCTTCAGAATCAAAATTTCTTCTATTATCTGTGTATATATAAACCCTAATCCCTTTCTATACTTAAGCCCCTCCAACTCCAAAGTGGTGAGTTAAATTCATATGGTTGTGTTACATACGGTGTATTAGATTATGATTTTAAAAGATTTTTTTTGAGATAAATTTTTTTTTTCATTTTAAAAGATTATTTAAAATTAGAGCAATTTAAAGATTTTTTTTACATTTCATAAGATTATTTAAAATTGGAGGAATTTAAAAACTTTTTTTACATTTCATAAGATTGAATTTTAAAAGATTTTAATAGAATTTATAAGATTTGAAAGAACAATATGAATTTATAAGATTTTAAAAAATTATATAAATTTTTAACAAACATTCAAAATTACAAGAGTCGATAAAAAAATAACAAGAAAATGCAATGAAATTAATAAAAAAAAAATAAAATCTAATATAATTTTTAACAAACATTTAAAATTACTAAACAACAACTTTTCATATGTCTAAAGTTATACTAGTCCTCCATGCATTACCATTTTCTCATTCCTGCTCTTGGATTTGACAGTTGAAAATTATCGTCTTTATTTTTGGAATCAAAGCTATGCATATATAATTATAAGATCCAATTTTTTTTAATTATTAAATTTGCATATAGAACCTAAAGTTCATAATAAATTTTCATTTGAAATTTTTTGCAATTAATCTTGAAAACCTTGAGGTTTTTGTTCTGTGTTATGAGAGTTTTCTAACCATATATTATATGCATATTTTTATTAAATATTCTAAGAAAATTTCAAATCTGAATTTTTGAGTTTTATTATATTTAAGTTTAGAAAATTTCTCAAAAAATTTTCAATCGATACATTGAAACATTAAATTACTTTGAGGCTTTTGAAAAATAATTTTTTAGTTATTTATTGACACAAAAATTGTTTGAAATACTTTTCTATAGTGAAGGAATTTCGTTCATGAATATATTGTTACGAAATATAGGGTTCATATTATGAAAGTTTTAATCATTCTTTAAATTGATATTGTTTTATTGATGTAAAACGAAAATTGGTTTGAGGGTTTTAGTTTCCCTATTACTTTCCCACTATTTTATGTTGTTTTTAATACAAAAATCACATCTTTTTGTACTAAGAAAACTACGACCCGTAGATATAAAAATAACTTTTTAAATTTCTAAAATTTCTCAAAAATATGTTGTTTTTGAGATAAATTATATTAAAATCTCATTGGTTTGTTGTTTCTGGATTGTTTTGTGATGAAGATCGCTTAAAAATAAGCTATTTTTGAGTTTTGACAAAGCTCCCATGGCGAACCCGATTCGAGCAGGTCAACCGGCCAAAGGAAGAAAAAAAGACTGCAATAGAGAAATCTCAAGAAATCCAAGAGGGTAAGATGAGATTGTGAAAGAAGCATCATATTTATATTTCTTTCTAAAAAGTCTTACTAAATCCACATCAATGAAAAATTCATTAAAATCGTTATTTTTTTGAATACCACAAGATTTTTTTTTCATTGTTTAAAATCTTAATTGAATACCAACAAATTTGGACGGACTCTAAAATACTCTTTTAAAATCCTAATCGAATACCACGTGATTTTTAGTCAATATATTAAAATATTAATTGAATACCAATGAATTTTTTTATCCAAAAATAATTCAATAAATTTTTTTGAGATTCCAATTCAATACACCCCTATAAGTGTAAAGAAGCCGGACAACCTATGACTCGATAATATTATGCCAAACTTAATTTATTATATATAATTAAATAGAACAGATTCAATCAAATAAAATAGATTCAGGTCTAAAAAAAGTACATTTACAAAGTAGGTCATTAATCTTTCTTTTACATACCAAACCTATAAACTTATAGTCCAGCTATATCATATTATTTATTTTAAATAAAATAAGTAAATTATTATTTTAATTATTTTGAATAACAAAATAAGATAAAAGTTATACTTACAAACTATTTTTATTTTTAACATTTTATAACCATATTTTAACCATTGATTTTCGTCAATCAACGGTTATTATTTTCTAAAATTAATATCATTAATTAATTATTAATTTACAATAAATGATAATCATTGAAATACAGAAATCAACGGTTAAAATATGGTTATAAGAGGTTGTAAATGAAAATATGTTCTAAGTATAACTTTTATAAAATAAATTATTTTAATTATTATTTTTTAATTATTGAATGTCTAATAGGTTTAAACAGGTCTAACCTAAGACTTTTATTTTTTAAATAAAGGTCAGACCAAATTTATAATGGTTAACAGATCAAGCCAGGTCTAAAGTATTTTATACAGATTTGACCTATTTAAGCCAAAGCCTAGCTGGGTCCAACTTATTTACATCCCTATATATATATGGGATGTTTACAAATTATACTATATACTTCCGGAAGTACACTGGGTTACACTATAAAAAAATTTGCAAAAATTTATAAAATTTTTTTGTAAATGAATTATTCCCCCTATATATATATGAAAAAAATATTTCTCCGGCAACTTGAGATAAGTTTATCTTCGGCCACCCCAGAATGACGTCGTTTTGTTTATTTATTCCTTATATTAATTGATTTATCTTTGAATGGTTATGATTCCCATTTTCTCTCTCTTCCTTTATCACAATTGATCTATCTTTGTACGGTTATGATTTAGTAGCCGGAGATAAAATTATCTCAAACAGCTTGAGAAACGATAAGCCCTATATATATATATATATATCAGAAAAATATTTCTGCAGTTAATGCAGATAAGTTATCTGCATTTATTTCCAAAACGACGTCGTTTTGGGATTAAAATATCAAAAATTATAATTATAAAGACTATAATAACCTGAAATAAATTAAAATTACAAAAACACCATGATTTCTGCCTCAAAATGACATCGTATTGGGCTTACTGCAGATAACTTTTCTGCATTAATTGCAGAAAAAGCGAACCATATATATATATATATATATATATATATGTATGTATATGTATATATATGGCAAAATGATTGTAAAGTGACTACGTCTTTTTTTGTGGGATAAAGGAAGTTCGCGTTCAAAATTAATTGTAGAAAATAAAAATATTATATTTATTTCTACCTTTGTATGATTATGATTTCCCATATTTAATACTTTATATTTATTTCCACCTCTGTACAGTTATTATTCCCCGAATTTAATGCTTTTACATTATAAAACGACGTAGTTTTATATTACTGCACCAATTCTTAGATGCAGTCACTTTACATCCGATAAACCATATATATATATATATATATATATATATGTATGTATGTATGTATATGACAGGTTCTTTTTACACCAGTGTAAGACTAACAAGTCTTACACCACATCTCAACCGTTGATGGACGGAAATCATCGGTTGGTATTTGTAGTATAATTAATGATTAATTAAAATTAATTAATTCGTATATCTTTCAAAGTTATAATCGTTGGATGCACGAAAATCAATGGTTGAGATGTGGTGTAAGACTTATTAATCTTACACTAGTGTAAAATGATCCTGATCCTATATATAGATATATGTGTGTGTGTAAGAGTTAGAAGTTTTATATCCAATCTTGAATATTGATCCACTTGTATCCAATGGCTCAAATTACTAAAAAAATTAGAGCTCTTAGATATAAGTTAAATCAACGTTTACAAAATTAAAAGTGTAACTTACATGGATTAGGATCATTATAACATGACATATATAAAACCCAATATATTAAGGGAATTACAAATTTCCCATAATTATACTTCTAACAGTGAATCTTACATATCGTTTTCAACTGTGCATTAAAAAAAGAATTTAGTGTTTGTCATTTTAAATGACACAATTTTGTGTCATTTTTAATGAAACTACGTCGTTTTGATGTGTTTTGTCATTTTCTCTAATTTATAAAATTAAAAAGAAAAAGAAAATGGAAGAGAGATAATGTAAAAACTTACCGAAACGACGTAGTTTCATTAAAAATGACACAAAGTTGTGTCATTTAAAATGACAAACATTTTCCCTTAAAAAAAAAGACAGCTATGTCCAAAATTAATAATGAAATTCATTTGTAATGGGACGATTTTCGGTATACTAGTAAGGGACATGTTAACGGGACTTTAGCCCATTAAGCTAAAAAATATTTATCATTCTTCGTTATACTATTTAAGTTATTTAAAAATATAAAGCAATAGAACAATAGAAGTGTTTCTTGATGGTGACGTGTGGATGTTGTGAAAGCTGTTGAGATGTGACGATTTTTGTTGCACTGTTGATGATGAGTAATGACTTCTGTTCTTATTGATGACATAAAGCCTAATCAAATTTGCTTTTAATTCTTTTGCCACCATGACATGTTCATCTTCTGTACACTAAAAGCGAATTAGGCTCTTGTTCTAATAATCAGTTAGGAATTCACCTAAAAGATGTGTATTTGGTAATGAGGATTTGTAAGATTCAGCATCAAAAGATATGCTACGGTATAGAAATGGAGGTGTAAAGTCTGTATTGCGTAGAGCAACTATTCAGACTCTCTCCAGTAAAGTTACACGTTATTGTGCCCTCTTTCCTCTCTCTTCCCTTTCAAATCTAATCCCTCAATTGGAGAAAGTTTGACTCAACTTATGTAGTTTCTCTTAATAATGATAAAAATAAAAATCGAAGACAATACAAAAACATTGTAAGGAACTGCTGCAATAGCAGTTTATTATTCATAAAAGAATGAAATCTTCCAATCCAAAAAAAAAAGAATAAAAATAAATCACATGAGCTAAGGCAAACTCTACCATCATGGAAATTAAATTTTCATTCTGAATTTACAGTTGCTAGCCTTGATGCTTATCAGATTATTAGATGATAAGCTATCGACAACCAACATGCATTCGCCCAAGACTCTCACCTTCTTCAGCTTCAACCTCCCAAGTTTGATGGCTATTGGTGCGTGGACCTTGAGATTCAATGGAATGCGTCCTGTTTGTTGTTGTTGCTGCAGTGCTGTCATTAAGGTGCTTCCAGATTGCACTTGACCAGTTAAGGACACATTGAGCACTGTTTTGTTCTGATGACCTTGGTAGAATTGGGGTAGTGACCCTTCACAAAGCTTTGTGTTTGTGTACCACACACTCAACTTTCCACTTTTTTCATAGTAAATACCAATCTTCTTGTTTGGGTTGTTTGCAGTGATCTTCACATCAAACTTTGCATACAGACTCAGGTCAAAGTTAAGCCTCAGATCACTTATCCTCAGGGTGTTAACTGAGTAATTGGGAAGTTTTGGTTTGAAGATTAGGTAAAGGGCTCCAGCTGTTGCTGCCAAGATAATGAGCAAGAGGGCAAGCAAGCTTAGTGTCCAACATATGCACTTGCAAAAGCAGCTTCTTTTTGGTTGTGTAGGGTATATTGTTGGCATGGCATGTAGTAATGGAGGATGGTGCTGCACCTGCACTGGGCTACCCTTTTCTGATCTTGAGGAACCTGGAGGTACCAATGGGGTTGTTGGGGGTGGTGGTGTTTCCACCTTCACTGGGTGGATCCTCTGTCTCTGATGATCTGCCATGAATAATATAAAACTATGCAAAGTAGTTTGCTGAGTGCTCTTGTCTCTCAGATTTTGTGGTGGTAACACCCTTTTATTTCGTTCATGTCGACACTGGGCAAGAGAACCTTTGGGTCATATTGCATATGTTGTGGCTATTTCCTTATTTGACTTCTAATTGTGAAAATACTGTTAGGGAGTAGGTTGATTGGTCTCGCAAAAGGTATCTTAGTATGGTTACCTTCTTCACCTACAAACAGCATGTAAATTACCAAAATAGATTGTGGTAGTTCATCTAAATGTTGACTTTTGATTGAAATACATCGGAGACAAGAGTTCCTTTCTACATTTTCTTTTGTTGAGGCTATGACTCCTGTAGTGATTTCAGTGTGACACATGTCATTCATTAGTTAAGCTTTAAGAATAGTACTACTTGTCTACATATTACTTCACATCTATATAATTCTATCATTTGATTATAGCCAAGTCTTAAATTTTTGTACCGTCACTTTGAATTTTCCATTTTACTTTTAGAGCCCCTTTGTTTGCACTTTTGAAAAAAAAGTAATTTTTATCTCTTTTTTATTTTAGAAGTCCTTTTTACAAAAGTTAAAGTTATTTATATTTTTATAAAAATATTTAGATTTTGAAAAAAATATTTAACTTTTGACTTTTGCTTTTTTTAGAAGTTAAAATTTTTAGCTTCAGAAAAAAAATAAGTTTTTGACTTTTTTTGTGACTTCTGCTTTTTTTAAAAGCAGACATCCAAACCAACTAAAAATGAAAAGTGCTTTTTTTTTTAAAAAGGCAACTTCTGGAGAAAAAAAACCATCCAAACAGGCCATTAGTGTGAGTTGACTTACACCGAAGTATTGTTCACCAAGCATTATTCTTTTCAACCGGTAACATATAAGTGGCATGTGCTGATAATTGCCATATGTTGAGATCCTTGAGGAGATGGGCATAAAGACATTCTTCAAACATGCTTTGCAAATAAGGAAACCTTACTTGCACATTAAGGCTACGTTCCACACACTGTACAAAAGTGGTTTAGGTAAAATACTAATGTCTTAACAAAAACTTAACCAAACAATTGTTTAATACCTTAAATTGGGTTACACATTCCTTGAAACCAAACCAAGAACTTATACAATTACAGATCTAGTGAGGTAGTTTGAAATGCATTTATTAAGAATTATTTATTATACAGAAACTTATTCAGCACAACTATACTTGTGTTTGAATTTTTGTGTCGGCCATAATTGACTTCAACCGGGTCCCTTTAGTATTGAGAAATTGTGTGTATATCACTACTCTATAATTTTTAAAAATGGTGACCTCGTGCACAGATTTCTGCATGATACAAAATACACCTTGTGCAGAAAGCCTGTGTCTGTGACTACAATACATGATTAGACAACTTTACCGTTATATCAAGACTCAGCCATGGTACAAAAAGAATTAGAAAGGTATATAGCAGGTTAACAAAATGGTGCCCAGATAGCAATATTGATTAGTAGGGATGACAAACCCTGCCCGTGCCCACCATAAGCCCGTCAAAAAGCGGGCTTGCCCGCCCCGTCCAGCCTGTGAAAGTGGGCAAGAAAACTCAGCCTGCTCCGTCCCATTTGAGCGGGTGGGGCAGACTGCTCGCCAAGTCCGTAAAATTTTACACTAAAAAAAGAAAAAAAATTAAAAAATTCAGCCCGAGCGGCAGGTTTGAAAAACTCAGCCCGTCCCGTTCCATTTGGAAGGCAGGACGGGCTGAGCCCGTTTTGCGATCTCTATTGATTAGCTTCTTTTGTCTTTGATTTCCAAAATAAAATGTTTGCGGATATAATCTAGCTGGCAGTAGCAATAGACACAAACTTCTTGATACCAAGCCAAGCAAGTTATTAAACCGAAACGGATGTTGAAATCTATCATCTTTAAGGGGAAGAAAAGAAAGGACCAGAGCTATGCTGTATGCCACATCCGTAAAAAGAAGATTATAATTTATAACCAATTGAACCAATTTTTATTGCACTGTCGGCATGCTGATCATATGTAAGTTTCTTAAACTTGTACACAGAATAAACAATTGCATGTGTTATTCAATCTCAATCTCTTGTGGAGCTGCCTCAGTTGTTGACCCTTCTGCATCGGTTTCTTCTTCACTAATACCAGCAGCTTCCACAGTCCTCGTAACCCATTCTTTGAGGGGCTCCTCATTCAAATCAAGCCTTAAAATACCCGCAAACATCCCTCCCAAGAATGCCACTGGTTCCTGCAGAAATGGTGAAAGTTGGGAAAAACAATATCATTATCAAATTTTCAATGCCAACCAATGGACACCCTTGTAGGCATAACAGAATGCTTTTCAGCTTATAAGTATTGTGAAAAACGTCAATTAAGCTACATCTCAGGAGTCAGGGGATAGTAAGTTAGCTAGCCATCAAGTTAAGAATATTGGTAGGCATTTAACAAACTAACATGGTTTCAAGTTAGCAACACAAAAACAATTTTATTTATTTATTTATGATAAAAAGAGAGTAAAATGTTATGCTAAGCCATGAACTAAGCAGGAGCTCTTTGCTTTCTCGACAAATTGCATTTCAGCCCAGTCATAAAATTTACTCAAGCACAGGCGACAAGTCAATGGAGGCATCGCATACATATTGCAATATTAAAAATAACTAACATAATTTACAAAAAAAAAAAAAATAACTAACATAATAGCTAGTTTAGATGTGAGTGATTATTAAGAAGGCACAAGATTTTCATTTAGCACCTTAACATTGAGCACTGAAAAGCCTTTGCCCTCTACTTATGGACATATATCAAAAGAAAGAAGAACTACATTTAAAGATCACATGTATTGATGAAAGATATAGATAATTAATAGGTAAAAGAAGCAGTTTCACTGATGACAAATTTGACAAATACGCTCTTCTAAAATAAGTTATGGTTCTGTATGATTTAAGACCCTGCATGTTTTTCTATGGCAGCTTGTCTATGTATGATTGACATATGTTTCATTATCCAGTAAGCTCATGATTGAATTATCAATCTCGAATTTAATTAAGCACCATAAACGAAAAATTAATTTTGCATCAATTTCAGTATTTCCATGATTAAAAATCAGAAAACGGGATAATCATTGAGAAATAGCCGTAAAAAGCTTCATCCCGATGTGAAGATATTTCGATCAAATTTAACTACCATATGTAGCAGTAGTATAGAGAATTTTATTTGACTGATAATTTGATATCATGTTTTCAGTAGATTAGTCCAAACTTGTTTTAAAATTTTACTTGATATATCTCCCATTTGCAATTGGGATAAAGGTGATGTGGATGTTGAATATATTTCCAACTATTTCCCAGCCCAAAACAAAAGTCTGATTGGGATTAAGCTTCTTTGGAGGTTCTTGCATTCAATAGGCAAGAGCTGTAAAGAACCTTGGAACCACTCCGAAAGCTAGCTCAAAAGGTGAGAGTGTCCAAGGCCTTATAAAGGCCACATTAGTTGGCTCATACAACCAATGTGGGACTATATATCTCAACACGCCCTCTCACGCAAGAGCCCCTTGGGGCTTGAACCGTGGAATTGCACAGGCCCAATTTTTGGTTTACCTCTTGGGAGGCGGTAAGGATCGAACTTGTGACTTTGTAGTCAAAAAAGCTCTGATACCATGTAAAGAACCTTGGGATACACCACTCCGAAAGCTAGCTCAAAGGATGGGAGTGTCCAAGGCCTTATAAACTCCACATTAGTTGCTCATACAACCAATGTGGGACTATATATCTCAACAAGAGCATCTAGTTTCCCTGGTTTGTAAGCTACAATTTGAGGCTTCAACAAGAGATAAGATAGTACAATGCAAGCATAGCTTCGAACCCCAAACCAATTTATACTCTCATCCTCTATACAGGCACTTGCATCCCCATTTCTTAAGAGAAAAAAAGTATCTCAAAGACGCAGCTCAAATGAAATGAACAAGTCAGATAACAGATTCGCTTTCCGGAAAATACAAGTCTTAATTCCACGTTGTTATGGAATTCGCTCTACGACAAGGTTCAAAATATGCAGCCAGGGACAATCACCATTTTAATTAAATTCCTTATTATCAGTAAATATTCAAGAAATAGAAGATTGATTTCTGCAGAGCTCACCCACTTATAATCAAAGAGTTGATAAAAATAATACCTTTAGAGCTTCTTTGATGATGGGGTCTTCTGCAGGATTAAAGAACAATGCTGTAACCCCATTTCCATTCTGAATTCCATGGGAATTATTGTTAGCACTAAAACCCATGTTTCTGCACATTCCTCCTACCCTTCGCCCCCGTGAACGTGATGATGATAATAACCTAGCTTCTTGCTTCAATTTCCCCTGTCAATTAAATAGATATGTAATTAGAGGGAAAATGAAGAATTGAGAAGAAACAAGTTAAAAAAATAAAAAATAAAAAAATAGAGGAGGATTGATAGAGGAATAATAACAGACCCAAGTACATGAGAGTGGCAGAGGAGAATTAAGGAGGAGAGACATAGCCAAGGTAGCTGTGTTGGAACTTGCAACGATAACAGCCAGAGAGGGTGGGGATTCACTCTATGTTCTCCACTAAATAGTCAAAAATTTTACAGTCAAGTAGAAATTGACTATTGTATTTTGTCTTCCCGATCCCAAAGCTTTTGGCTCTGTTTGATTACTGATTTTTAAATAGTTTTTTAGTTTTTAGAAAAAAAAAACTTGTTTGGCAAGACATCTTTTCTAAAAAAGTTTTAAAAATTGTAACTAATTTTTTTTGCTTTTAGAATCAAATTTAGAGAACATGTATGAGTTATTTTTGTTTTATGTTTTGGTTTTTAATTTTTAAAACAAAAAAATATAGAAAATAATTGTTTCTATAGTTATTCTCCAAAATAATTTTAAAAACAAAAAAATCACAACACAATCAAGCAGGCCTATATTTTTTTAGAATTTCTGTCTGTTTTACCTTTTTCATTTTTATTCATTTTTTTTAATATTATCGATAAGTTTATTTGAGACGGACAAAATCACATGAAAATAAAATTTTGAGTAAATATTTTTTTTTTGTCCTCGGCAAATTTCATGACGTCCGCTTTAGTCTCTAACAAATAAAAAGACTATTCATGATTTTTAAGAAATTTAAAATGAACCTATTTAATTGAAATTGTGGTCCGTCATAAATTCTAAAAAGACCCACATTAATCCCTCAAAAAGATTAAAATGGGTTCACTTTGAATTTCTTAGAGACCACGAATAGCCTTTTTATTTGCTAGAGATTAAAACAGGCATCATAAAATTTGCTGAAGATCGAAAAAGGTATTTACTCTTAAATTTTCTAACTTAAAACAATTCTTTAATCATTCCAGAACAAGTAAAAATGTACTCAGACAAAAGAAAAATGAAAATCAATTTTTTTAAAATATAATCTATCCTATTAAGTATTAACTATTAATCCTTATCTTCAAATATATAACGTGCTTAGTGATTTAGTCTTTCAGATTTACTATTTGAGGTAAGTGTTTAATGTTTGTCATTTAAAACGATGGTCCTTTTAAATAAATGTAGTGTAATTTTTAAATTACAAAATTTTTCGTTCACTTTCTCTCTCCCATAACTTGTTCTTTTATCTCTTTTAAAAGGATATAAGTGTGTCTCTTTTTAAAGGACACACACTTTTCCCTTGAGGTAATTAACATTCTGAAAAAAAGAACAAAATTGATCTAATCAACGATGTGAACCTTGTGATAGCAATATTCTGTCATTGTATAGGATAAATTTTTGGTATCACTTTGTACTTAAGTGGGTACAACATTTTTTCACTTTTGAAATTTTTTTTAAAACTTTAAAAAAAAAAAATTCTCGCCAAATTACACTTTATTCCAAAAGTAAAAAAATATTGTACCCACTTGCGTATAACAATGGTATCAAAGATTTATCCCATTATATAATCTCTTGATCCAAAAGATAGGAAATGACATTAACCATGTCATTTGTAAGGAAAACAATTGCAATAGACCTTTTAATATTTCTCCCAAAGGTTTCATCCCATTAACTTGGCACAGTACCCTAATCACTACCTCTTTACCCTTTCAGCTCCAATTTGAGCTTTCATTCTACCAAGTTGAACTGGGCCAAAGATTTTATTTAGGCCAACTGAGGTTGCCTTCACATGGCCAACACCCAATAAGTAGAGTTCGGCTTGGACACATCCATAATCCACCTTATTATTCACCGCCAAATTTTGCAGGCTCTCAAAGAACATTAGCTAAAAGGAAGTATATGTTAGGTAGGCAATTTTTCAAAAGATTAAATAATATATTCGATATGTGAGATTTTTGAAATCCTGCATGAATTAATATAAAATGTTATTAATAATCATACGCATATTTTGTTGAATGAGTCCCTCGCATTTCATAATGGAACAATTTAAGGAGGTGGAGTATTTAATGTGGTTGTTGGAGCTTTTAAAATCAGTGATGGAGCATTTTGTTGGGAGATTACTTCCTCTAATGGTATTATATGATATTATTGCTGGATTAATGGTTAAAGACATTATTTTATATTAGAATTGATATAGATTAATGGTGAAAGATTATATTTTGCTATTAGGATTGATATCACATTGGGATTACTAATGGCATATTTATTAATTTGTACATTTAGTTGCGGTGAAAATAGTAATAAGGGTGGTAAAAAAACAGTAAATGAGAGAGGCAAATAAGTCATTAAAAAATCCGATTAAATAGGAAACTTGAAAGAATATACAAAGGGCTTTCAGATTTTGGTATAAATTAGTAATTTATACTTATAATTATTAAATTTTTCATAAGGATCTTGATCTCACTTGTGGACGTAACTTAATTTAAGATAAACAACGTAAATTATACTCAACTGTATTTATTGTATATCTTGTTAATTATTAATTTTCAGTATCTGAAATAGATAAATTATTCTTAACGTATTTAACATTAAATTATTTTGTTTATGTAGCATTTAATAAAAGCTAGAAAGAATAATATGCAAGGCACTAGACATGGATTTTGTCCTTGTTGAGAAAAAGGATCAACATAAACACTGCAACCAGACACAGGTATTCTGTTGATATAAATGGAAAACCTCAACTGGAACTGAGCGGTCAAAACAGTCAACACATATCACCACGTGGACACCTTGCAGCATTTCACAAACCCAGGTGTCCCACTTAGGTTCAACCCTATTTGGCTTATATAACCGGTGGACACTCCATTCAGAAAAATAAATTCATGTCTGCACATTTAATATTTAGTGACAGAATTCGGAAGCAGCATCTTTAAAAAAAAAATTTAATATAACTTTTACGTGAAGGAGTTGACTTATTAGTATAGGAACTTTTTCCATCAAAACTAATCTACCCTAATTTGTCATAAGCAGCCAAATGATTTTGCAGACAAATACTTTGCAATCCCAGACTAAGAATGTCGAAAAAGAAAGAAAAATATATAGAGTGAATAGCAATTCTAGACAAATAAAAACATAAACCAGTGTTTACCAAAAAAAAAAAAAACATAAACTAGTAAATCAAATAAACAGAAGAGAAGGTGAGAAGAAAGGGGAAAGTCTCTATGAGGTTGTAGTTGAGATTGAGATCAGTGTCTCCTATTGTCACGTCTCAATCAATTGAATTCACGTAAGAGAGAGAGGGGTAGCATGTGGAGAGGTTGTTGCAAACTCTAATTTTTTTTTTAAGATTTTTTTTTCAAATATTCATGTCTGTCATTCATCATGGGAGAGAAAATGAGTGATTTTTTTTAATTTAAATTTGAAATAAAAAAATATTTTTTTGTGTCTATCTCTCTATTAAAATACATAACTTTATGTCATTTTAAAATGAGAAATACTTATATATATATATATGGATCAGGATCATTTTATACTAGTGTAAGTTACACTCTTAATCTTATCCGTTAACTCTACTTATATCTAAGGGCTCAAATTTTTTAGTAATGTGAGTCATTGGATACAAGTGGATCAATGATCAAGATTGAGTGTAAGACTTCTAACTCTTACACCTGTGGAAGAATATTTGTCCCTATCTATATATATATATATATATATATACATATACTCATCAACGTAGATGAAACTAATCCTTTCAAGGTTTGGAACGAGAAGAAATTTAGCATTGATCCCAAAGTGTTTTTCATAAGAATCAAATCCATAACTTCATTAATCACCGGAGCTCGACCCTTAGCAATATTACTGTCAGTAAATGACGATACAAAGATCAATGAATTTCAGTATTATGAGGTGTCGTCGTGTTGCCACTTGGCTAAGGGGTGAGACTGTCGGATATTTTGCATCTATACATTCAATTTATATAAGATGAATGGCAAAGGTGGGGACTGGATTCTCTCACGTGAAAAGTAGTCATGTGATTTGATCACAATCACTCATTTAAAAATTATATATATTTTTTTCTCTTATCTCATCATCAATGAATAGTTATGAATTATGATCAAATCATATGACCACTTTTTTACATAAGAGAATCCACTCCGTGAAGGGTGAGGCTATCGGATATGATAACGACGGCTAACCTGTCAGCAACTTTAGATCCTTTGCTTTCATTAACTTTACATTCCTTCGAATCAGATAAAGGAAAAGGTGACTCATCTTGTTCTCTGAGTATTTGTCAACCGAAAAAGATAGATTTCATTAATTTTGTGCGCATTTGGTGCAGCTCTCGTTTCCCCCCTTTTTTAACCAACTTACGAATTTGTCTAGTGGTAATGGGGATTGATAATTCCGCTCCCTGCGCACGTTAGTCAACACGGCGCACAACTTGCATCCCCCAAACTCGAAACTCTGTTCCTCTTTTTCCTTACACGCGGCACCCGATCCTCACGTGAACGTCGGTGCGGCGTCTTTCCCGAAGCCCGCGGAGAGACCGCCGTAGCTCTAACGTCTTCTCCGATGCCGCTACCGTCGTCGAAGTTGAGGGCGTAGCTGAGTGGATCGTAGCGGAAGGAGCCGTGCTTGACGTAGGAAACGCCGCGAGTCCTGTTGTTGAAGCGCTGTATGAAGGTCTTCCACTTTGGGCCCGCCTCGATCTCCGACCGCTCCCGCACCTTCTTGCACCCTCGGGCCCACCACCGTTCCTGTTCTCCGGCGATTAAACCCGTTCCCACCACGACGGCGACGTTTCGGATGGGAAGCACGGCATCGAGAAACAGATGCAGCTTCTCTTGGCAAACATGATCTCTTGCATGTCGTCATCGACTTCGTCGGTGGCTGTCGCCGGCAACGTTGACATCTTCGCCAGAGAAATTGGGAAGAGGAGAAAGGAGAGTTAGGGTTTGGTTTTCCCTCTCTTCTCTCTCCCCTTTGGCTATGGCTTTTGGGTTTGGCACCGAAGTAGAAGAAGCACACGGAGGAACCAAACTAATGGGCTTGTTTGTGGAATAGTCACTTCCTATAATGTAAAATATTAAAGACTCATCTCTTACAGTCTTGAGTTTTACATTTTCAAGTTGATCACGATCACAAGTAGAAAGTGATATCATCTAAGCATGGGAAAATAGAACTCTAATGTTGTAGGGAAGTTGTTAGGTTATGTTGTAGAAATAGAGATCGTGAGACTTACAGGTTTCATAATCTCTAT